TCTCTATTTTGGCTTAGTATAGTATTGGTACAAGAATGATAAGAATAGTATTTCTAAAATCATATAATTAGGTACCTGGCCCATGCCATCTATAAAACAGGTCATCTGGTTCCTGTTTTCATAAAACTTGTTATCAATAACAAATGCTAGATTTCTATTACAAATTTGCTTTCAGCAGCAATCAAATGCCATAGTTTGAGTAGCTTACAGTTATTGTAACTTGTTACTGTATAACAAGTTAGATGAAACAGGGCCTTGGTCTATTGTTCTACACTGTGTGTGCTTTGGCTTTGGTATTCTAAACTACTACTACATGTACATGTTACCACAGTACTAACCAAGTGAAATAAATACTTCAATATTACCAATGAGGCATATTAGCGATTTGAAACATTATATTTGCAAATATGAACAGTGCTTATGATACCAAATAAATCAATGAGAGACTAAGAGGAAGATACCATCAGCATCTCGATGACTTCATTGCACAGCCTTGGTTCTCGCTACTTTCAAAGGAAAACAACATCATTAGGTATATTGAGGATATTAAAGGCACACTGTCTTACTTGTAGCTACTTGCTCCCTCTATTTCAAAAACTTCCCATCGGTGCCTGTTGGTCCCCCATGATCCTCTTTTTTTTATGTTAAATGAGAGCTGAGTTAATGAGCTAGCCACCTGTCACAGTGACCTGGTGGTCTAATCCCTTCTTGCTGAAGTAGTAACGCCACCCTTTAAAGAGCATCTTCAAATATCATAAAATGAACATTACTAATATCACTCAGCAGTCGGGCCTTGTAAGGAGCTCATATCTTACTAAGATAACAAGAAAAGTATAAAACAAAAGGGGCATAACAATGTGTTAATGGATACATGTATAGTGAATGCCTTATTGCTCTAAGCTGTTTAAACATGTACATGTATGAATGGAGGCGATGACAAATATTTTAATGCTTTATAAAATTATCTCTCATAGAAGTCATTTTTATGAAGTTTTCAACCTTTACCTTACAGTCATCATGATCAGGAATTGCAAGAACTAAGTGCTAATTTATTTATTTTCAATCAATGTCATTAATGTTTTTGGAAAATAAAACTTATACATTAATCACAAAAAGGGATATTGAAGATCAGGGATATAAATCATAAAGCATGCTCTATGGAATAAAAACAGTCCATATCAAGTAATTGAGTACATCACAATACTGTCGTCTAATAATTGCCAACCTACTGTGTGTACCGGTACATTTAAATTATAGGTAGAAGTCACCTAAGATAGATGTAATGCATAGAGCCTACACTAACTATTCACGTTCGTTTAGAGTACGGTACTGATAATAATTATGCTATTCATAGAATATTTTAAGTATTTCCCCAAGAGAGAAGATACTTTAGCAGACAAAACCAGAAAATGATGATATTTTTGTACACAACGGGAGTTATTCACAACTGCATCACAATCCACTTACTACACTGCCAATTTGTGATTCGCATAGACTCAGTGACCTCATATTTCGAACATTCATAACTTTCTTCATATTGGTCCAATCTGTTTCAAACAGCACATTCCTGCCTCTTGTATTTTTCTGCTTCCATACAAACAAATTTATTTCAAGGGTCCAATTGCCCTTTAAAGAGTAATAGACAAGCAATTAGGGGATAGTATTCCATTATTCCAACTAGGGGTAATATAGAGAGTATTGATTTTAAGCTGTACTGGTAGCTTAAGGGTATAATTTAATCAGAAAGTTAAACAAATATCCATGAAAGATAATATTGATCTCGATTGAGTAGGGGATTGAATGCCTCTATAAAAATATGAGCAACCACATAGGAAATCTCACATTTTTTCTCCCAAAACAGTGCTAGAAAACAAATCATGATTTTTTTTTAAAGGGCAAACAGAGAGATTTTCATCGTCTTTTGTAATGATGATGTGAATCTCTCTTTTTGCTCGAGGCAATATTTATGAGAAAATTTCAAGAAACTTATTTCAATTTATTTTATATCAAAGAAATTTCTTCTTCTTTCCCCAAGTATTTCTTACAGCTGACCATCTACATGTACATGTAGTAGCAAAATGTTATAATCATAATTCTATGTTTTATCTTGCCTTTTTTGCTATCCATAAAACTATAAATTGATTTACAGTGTAGTGTCAAAGAACCTAAGGACCTTAAAAATCAACAAAACCTTTTAAGCTGAATTTTCCTGCAACATTGTACTCACAACTAATTCACAAGCAAAACATTTTAATATACTTTATACTAATACTCTATACTTTTCTTTTAATATACCAAATATGAATTAACTGCATGTAGTACTGGAAATCTTATTGGTCCAATTTGTTTCAAACAACACATTGCTGGAAATCAATATCAATACTGATATATAATGGAGGAAATAAGAATATTATAAATGTAGGAAAATATGTGTAAGATGCTCAACTTCTAATCAGTAAAAGCTTGGCCATTCATGAATTTGATACATCTTCTCACTAGGATATAATCAAAAACATTTACATGTATGAAGTGATAGTATGGATACCTCAAATGTAAATTCTAGTTTAAAAAATCATCATATTATAAAGAAAGTGTCAGTTTCTTTTGTACACTTAAAAATCACTTCAATATTTCTGCCATACGGTTCTTCTCCTTTTCCAGATAGACATCCAACCACTTGTAATGAGATTATCAAGTCAACATGCCTAACCCACCTGCACAGGCACTCTTCAAATTTGATCAGCTTCATGCAACTGCAATCTAGGCAAACCTACATTTGAAACTCTAGACTACATGTGTGTCAATTTTTAAAGCACCGACTGAAAAAAAGAGATTTCTATGGTACTCAGGACTCTGGAGTTGACAAAATCTCACAGCAATTGTACAGAGTTGGAAGATAATAAAATAAAATAAAATTGGGAAATAAATAGGGCAAAATAGGGAAGAATAGAGAAAATAAGGGGGAATCAGGAAAATCAGAACTCACTCCCCTTGCAAGTCAAGACACCCTGCAATATTCCCTAACAAACATCTTGCTTCCTTTATAAATTCATGACTCTGATGCATCTCAAGAAGGAAGAATAATTTGATCTGCCATAACAAGAGTGCTCACATATACACACTTGTAAACTTTCCATTCATCAATAACATCACATTGCATAACATAACAAGAGTGCTCACATATACATGTACACACTTGTAAACTTTCCATTCATCAATAACATCACACTGCATAACATAACAAGAGTGCTCATATACACTTGTATACTTTTCTTTCCATTCATCAATAACATTACATCGCATAACAGTATAACCAATTGTCATCACTACCCCTCATCCATCCTCCTACATCTATGTATAGCATACACCTCCTGATTATGTCTAGTACTGTTTTGAGCACTCTTAATATGAAAATGCAATTAGTGTCACAATAGTTTGTATAGAATATGTGAAAGTTACATGTAATTCCTTCTTCTCTCCTTCTCTCCTTCTCTCCTTCTCTCATTCTCTCTCTCTCTCTCTCTCTCTCTCTCTCTCTTTCTCTCTCTTTCCTTTGCTCTGTCTACGTTTAATCCACCTACAATGTACATGTACTGTACTATCATCACTTTATTTAATTTTCTTCCCCTTCTTCCCAGTTTTGTTTATTTTAGCACCCCCCCCCCCTCTCTCTCTCTCTCTCTCTCTCTCTCTCTCTCTCTCTCTCTCTCTCTGTCTTTCTTCATTTCTTTCTCTCTCTCTTCAAAATGTCTTCTTCTTTTTTTGTGAGAGAGGCTGGTGTCTTTTCAAAGGTTGAGAAAACCAAAGATGGGTTAAAATAAAGAGAGACAATTTTTTGTAGAAATGTAGAAAATGTGCCAATTCACATGAAACTTAAATGTCCTCAATATAAATTGTCAATGGCTGAAAATGAAGTTGCATTTGATTACCGGTACATTTTATGCACAAGGCTCACACTTCGCATGAAGCTTGAGTGCAGGTGCTAACAACTTACCAGTATACTGTATCAGCAATAAAGTTATACTGATGTTCACAGTAGAGGGTGCTCACACATTTTCCCATTCTAAGTGATCAAATACTTTTCTAAAAGAAGAATGTATTTGAACACTAGAGGGCATCTGGTCATTCCTTAAAGGTAAAACTTAAAGTGATAGTGTGATTCACAAGGGTAAAAAGAGCTTTCTTTATAGCATTCTCAACTTTCATCATTTGTGTACTTTCCTGTTGATTATCTTTTTCCTCTCTAAGTTGATGAATAAAATAAAAGCCCCACTGCACTACTTATAGCTACTTGCGCCCTTTACATAACAAACAATACATAATCAGTGACCATTGGTCTCCCATGATCCTCTTTTTCTTATGTTAATTGAGAGCTGATGTCAGTGACCATGCAGGAAGGTCTAATCCCTCCTGGCCAAACTAGTGCAGTGGGGCTTTAAAAGAAGCAGGAAGATCTCAGAAGTGACAGACACAAGAGTAAGAAATAACTGATAGCACATATTGACCGCTTCCAACATTTAATATGCTGACTGTAATCTTTTGTTTTTTAATGCATACCTGCCAACATTTGAAAATAAGAATAGGAATTTTGTGCACAGTATGCCTTTGAAAATAAGAAATCGCACTTGCAGCGGCAGTGTAACTGGCAATACGCAGTAAAAATTGAAAAAAATGAATATTCTGGATTTTCAGGTCCTAGAAATCCAGAAAGTCAGAATATTCTAGATTATTTGTAAGGGTTGGCAGGTATGTTAATGTGTTGATAAGGATACCTGGGATCAAATGCATTTTTAGGGCAACAAAAATAAACACATTTTGTGAATAAATTTCAGTCTTTCTGTTTAGTGCTCAAGCATATATAGTTTTAAGTTATGGATGAAAAGCCACTAAGCCAAGAGACAATTGCAATTGCCCTGACTGAATTAAAAACACAGCACACACACAAATAAAAAGAAGCTGTAAGAAGGAAATCAAAGCTCTTCTCTTAGTTTTATCCTTACCTTTTGGTTTGGGCGGTAGTTTGACTGCACGCATAGTATGGTAGTTATCATTCCAGCCATGTTTCCCCACTGTTGGTTGTTCCATCTGTTCTGTGGTAGGCATTGGTCGTGGTGAGGGTGGTTGTTGCTGTGGCAGGGGTTGTGAGGATGGTTCTTCAGGCCATGGCAGCAACGTCTTATCAAAATCTTCTCCCGATTCAAACCAAGCATAGCTGCCAGACTGGCTGGAGAGGCTAGACAACATGGATAAGTTGGAACCTGAGCCAAGGAAAGAAAGAAAAGCAGATCACTGAATCATTTCACCACCGTTGTATTTGGTATTGGTGTTTTATAAACATTGTATAGGGTAACAAGGATCTCAAGGTCTCTGAGACCACATAGCTAATTGCGATAAGCAACTTAGACTGTACCAAAGGGCATTCAACCAAGAGTCTACATTTATTACAAGGAGACTTACACAACTTTTGTACATCATATTATTAATCACAAATAAGAAGAAAATAATTAACCTAAATGAATGCCTTTACATTTGTATTATGAACTGATATATTTATCACTTAGTCCAGGAAAAAAATCATGTACTATGAAAATATCATAATATTTTATTGAAGATAGTAGAATATTTTCTTCTTGCTATCTACAGTGAATTGTCGAGTCAATACTAGTACAAAAATCTTGGTACCACATGTATGTAATTTAATCAATTTAATCAAATTTAATCAAGTTCTCTCTTGATCAGAATAATGCAAGGTAAAAGCTCAATAGATTCTATACATTTCTTTATTGATTGAATGTTGTAAATATAAACCCATGCATTTATTAGCTATAGCAGACTATTTTAGTTTCATTCCGAATAAAGTACCATTGAACCGGAGTTAAATTACCAAGCTCTTGTAAACCAGTGAGTTTACAAGAGCTTCATTAATCAACAGATACTTTACAGACTACCATTGAACTGAAAAAAGTTTTCATTATGAAGCATCCATTAATTTCAAATGACGTATTAATTTTTTCATCGCAAAATGTCGGTCAAGTGAGTGAAGAAACAATCCATCAATTATATGATGCTCATTCAGCTGAAGGGTGTGGTAAATATAATCAATCAAAAACAGCACAAATCACACGTCACATTTTTATAACAAATTTGCTCACACTCACAGCCAATCAAATACAACCATTTTAGTACTTACATGTACAGTGTACCTTATAACAATTATTGTCACTTGTTATTGATAACAAGTTTTATGAAACGGGACCCAGGTATACCGAAGTGCAATTACCACTAGAAGACTTTCAACACTTTGTTTTACTTCAAATAGGGATATAATGTCATATGATTGTCCTCAACTTCAGAGTATCTTTTTTTAATCTGGTTTAAAACCTTTCTAGAGGTGGGGTTTTCACATTATGAGAGAAATGGCTTTGAAAGTCCCCCTCTTCCCCGATGGCTGTTCATAAATTGAATTAATAATGATGAATACCTGTTTAACCTCAAAGACCAGAGTTGAGATTATTTGCTGTATTGTACAGGGGCGAAATAGCGGGTAAAATGCTGATTTTGAAACCTTGCCAAACTACAATGTGGGTTGCAAAATCATGGGGCTATAGAGTTAATTGATGATTCATACATTCAGCCATGAAACTACCGATAAGAACAAACCGACCCCTTACTTACATGTATTAACCAGATATCTGTACAAGTCACAGGAATCGTGCAAAAAAAACCCACAAATTTGCAAAAACTGTATTGTAGCTTTACATGTACAGGTAAATAGGTACGTTTCTCCCCCCCCCCCCCCCCCCACCCTGCTAGAAAATAGGGAACAACTGATTTTTATGTTTTTATGGATCATCATCCAGTATCAACAGTTTTCTACTCTTCTCCTGCAGTGTGCAGAAGTCATTGCTGTTCTGAAATTGAAAATGGAATATTCCTTAAAATTTTTCTGCAGACCAATGATGAAAAAAAGTTCCGCCCTGCCCTACACAGCCTGCATTATTTCTTGATATGACAACAAACAAAATGTGGAGGCAGCTCAGCTTTCATGAAATATGATTCAGTCATGTTTCACAAAGATAAGGGTATAGTACAATCAAGGACATGTCATGTCATATCATCTGCTCAGCACTATGAAGGACACTGACTAATATACTTTTACACGGTGGTAATGCCTTTCTGGCTTTCAAAAGATGATATCGTATTGTTTACAGGCCATTACATTGTACAGCTATATTTACAGGTAGCTCACATTACCTGGAATCTAGACCGATTTCCCAATCACCTTGGAAGAAGAATCATTTTCAAATTTTTAGCTAATGTTCAACTTCAAATATTCCTGAAGAGCAGTTGATTCTACTCCTTAATCTGCCCGCCCAACTTGTAGAGATGTCAACTAGTACGATTAAATTGTATTTACCGTAATTAACGGTGTATAAACCGCACCTTTTTGCCGCCGAAAAAAATTCAAAGTCAGGGGGTGCGGTTTATACACAGTACACCAACAAAAAAACAAAAATTAAAAGTTTTGATATATTACCCTCCACCTGGCGCTATGCCGGCAATGTCTCCCAGCTCAGTAATCGGTGTGTTGACTCACCACTCGGAAACTAGAACAATACTCAAATTTGTCTGTCATCTTGGTTTGAAAGTAATCTTTCTGATAGATCTCAATATGTAGTTTATAATAATAATTCCTCCAATTTTTCTTCTATTACACGGCGTACCACAAGGTTCTATCCTAGGTCCTCTACTGTTTTTTTAATTTACATTAGGGTAATGATCTTACACATTCAGCTGCACCTCGCAGTTAAATGAAAGGCCTTCACGCATGGGTTTTTTAACATGGACCTGGCTTGCTGCCGACAGAATCAGCAAAAAAAAAATTAAAAAATAAGGGTGAAAAAGAGGAGTGCGGTCAATACACGAGGGCGGTTTATACAACATTAATTACGGTAGTACGATAAAATAGGAGTGAAATACGATCTTAAAATACAATTTTTTCATCTGTTTTTTCAACAAAAACAAAAAACAAAAAAAAACAGTGGAATCGCATAGAAACATGCACAAGTAAACCCCGCAACCCCAACAAAAACTTTGCTTTACAATTTTCTCATTCAATTTCAATGAAAGAGCAAACATTTTTCTGAAATTCTACTGGCCCGGGGCCGACGAGCCGGTGGTAGTGTCAAGTTTTCGTGAAAGTCTGATTTTTCTATCCAAAATCTGATTTTTTTTTTTTTAGGATTCTCAGTCTGTTTTTTGTGTCAAGAGGTTGGCATCTCTGATGGTGGGGAGAAGGGAGGAGTCAATGTGATCTCACTACGACTATTACTAATTTACTTTAGCATAAAATATATTCGGCAACCAACCGGTTTGTCTCTTTCCCTCTTTTGGGTTTAAGAGGTTCATGAGAGTCTGCTGTTGTTGTTGTATTTATTGCCCTCAAAATGACCATTATCCTTATGTTTCTTTTTGGTAATTGTGTGTTTTAGTAAAAAGACGGTTTCAAATTTTTTAACTACACATTTTTGTTACCATTTAATTAGTTTTAGCTTCTTGCCCCTCTCAAAGGCCTAACGGAGTACAGCTAATATTGGCCAAAAAAAAACTAAATACCACATTTAATTTACTATATACAAAAAAGGGGGGGGAAACAGGTAAAAGACAATCTGTCACCCTTTAAATCAGACTTGGAAGGACTGCCAACAATTTCCATCTGTTAATGTAGCAAGGAAATCAGACTCACTTGAAGTACTTGCTGCATGTTTCTGCGGTGTCATCCCCTCTGCAAAGCTGAGACTCCCTGATTCAGTGAACCTTCTTCGTCTTTCGTGACCCTCTGACCAGATCCGTTGCCTCTTCACCTGCCCTATGTTCCCCTTGCTCTGCACCCCTTCTTGCGCCGGTGGCTCTGGAATGATTGGGAGTCCATTGACGTAATCAGCGACTCGTTTCGATGAGCGATGGCCCGGTGGTAGCTCCCGTCTCTTCTGGTCCAGGATCCGCCTCTGTTCGTTGATTTCTGGCTGCGGGGATGGAAGGAAGACATCAGTGTCAGACTGGTTGGAGTTGCGTCTCTCATCCATGAAGTCCGACTCACTGGTCAACTCAGATCCACTGCGGAATGTAGACCTGGAGCTGCTGTGACAGGTATTACCGTTCAATGCTTCGTGCCTGTCAAGGTACTCCTGAAGAGTCTCTCCAGGTCTCTGTTCCTCATCCACACTGCTACAGATGCGACCTCTGTATCTGCCATTGCTGGTGGCGTTGCCATGGAAACTATTTGTGTCATTTTCAACATTTGTGCCTGTGGTGCTTCCAGTTCTCCCTAATTGGTGAACAAAAGAAAAATTGAGGGAATTTGTTAAATGCTGTTACGGAAGGCATGCTATACACTACCGCTCAAAGGTTTTGGCACATCGGTTCATGATTTTGTTGTTCACCGCAAAGTCTCGGTTCGCAAACGGTGAGCATACAGTGAGCAAACGGTTAGCAAGAGAGAGCACACGCGCGGATTTCTCTGTTCCGGTCAGAAATCGCGGTTAGCTAAAAGCTAAGATCGCGCATGCATTGAAAGCTGTATTGTGACGTAACAATGACAAATTTTATAACGTTTTCTGTCGGCAATGACATCAAGTAAATAATCATTTTCGTATCATTCTGTCGGCAATGAAATCAAGTAAATAATCATTTTCGTATCATTCTGTCGGCAATGACATCGAGTAAATAATCATTTTCGTATCATGCTGTCGGCAATGACATCAAGTAAATAATCATTTTTGTATCATTCTGTCGGCAATGACATCAAGTTAATAATCATTTTCTTATTATTCTGTCGGCAATGACATCGAGTAAATAATCATTTTTGTATCATTCTGTCGGCAATGAGATCAAGTAAATAATCCTTTTCGTATCATTCTGTCGGCAATGACATCGACTAAATAATCATTTTTGTATCATTCTGTCGGCAATGAGATCAAGTAAATAATCCTTTTCGTATCATTCTGTCGGCAATGACATCAAGTTGACATCAAGTTAATAATCATTTTCGTATCATTCTGTCGGCAATGAAATCAAGTAAATAATCCTTTTCGTATCATTCTGTCGGCAATGACATCAAGTAAATAATCATTTTCGTATCATTCTGTCGGCAATGAAATCAAGTTAACAATCATTTTCGTATCATTCTGTCGGCAATGAAATCAAGTAAATAATCCTTTTCGTATCATTCTGTCGGCAATGACATCAAGTAAATAATCATTTTCGTATCATTCTGTCGGCAATGAAATCAAGTTAACAATCATTTTCGTATCATTCTGTCGGCAATGAAATCAAGTAAATAATCCTTTTCGTATCATTCTGTCGGCAATGACATCAAGTAAATAATCATTTTCGTATCATTCTGTCGTGTGTTTATGCTCGGAATGAAAAGAGCATTCTTTACACTATTGTGATGTAATAATAAACTGATTGTGACGTCAGTGGCAAGCGCGCATCGGTATGATAAAATAAAACAAATAACTTGACTTTCCGCGTACGTGTGTGCAACTTTTGAGAGTTCTTTGGATACGCGCTCGCAGACTTAGCGCGCACATTTCTTTTTGTTATTAACCGCAATTCCTCGGTTAGCAAACGGTGAGCGTACGGTGAGCAAACGGTGAGCAAACGGTGAGGAACCGAAGTTGGGTGTACGGTGAACGGATCCTCGCCGTTCACCGTACACAGTTCGATGCGGTTTACGGAGCGGAACCGATGCCAAAACCTTTGAGCGGTAGTGTACATGGTGTAGTATATTGCAAAAATCTCAAGGGGATCTCATTTTAAAAGGTGCACAACCTCTTTTACTTCAAAGGTTTGCTACTAAATAAATCTAGCCAATCATTTAATTCAAATTCTGTAGAGAAGTACATGTAAGTACATTGAAATATCAACACAGCAAAAGTATACCTTAGAGTAACAGCATAATCTTTACAAGTTTTTGAAACATTGCTGAAAATAAAAAGCACCAACAAGCTCATAACTTAAACGGTTTATATTTTTCACCAAATCTTTTTGGCAGATACGTTTGTACCATTAATTCACATCAACATCCACTGTAATTTTGGTTTCAATCTGAGAGAACTCGTATTTCATCATGACCATTCATAACTCAATGGGGTCGGACAGGACACACTGAAGAACAATCATGAAAGTAGAAGCTTACCATAGGAACGACATGTTTCCATCGCGATTGTTACCCGCTTCTCATGAAGATCACGAGGTCAGCCACCTGGAAGAAAACAAAAATTAAATAAAAATTAAAGTGGAGGCTAATTGTCCTTGTGTGGTTATAACTACCGGTGTCTGTAAACACTAAGTATGGACTAAACATATGTTTTTAATTTCAGTGTGAATATGTAGTTTGGTGACATACAATTCCATACCGGAAAGAGTGGGCTGTCTTCTAAATTGTAACTCTGTATTCGCGCAAAAGAGAGTACACATTATATTATGTGAGAGAGAGTGAAAAGTACATGAACATATGGATAGAAGGGAAAGTTTAGTGAAAGGAAAAACAGATCAATAGTGCAAGAGGAAAGAGGGAAAGATAGAATGGGGAAGAGGGGAGAGAGGGGAGAGAGAGGGGAAGAGAGAGGGGAGAAGAGAGAGAGAGGCCAGGGGAAAAGAGAGAGGCCGGGGGAAAAGAGAGAGGGAGAGAAGAGAGAAAAGAATTTAATTGAATTGAATTGAATTGACGTTGATAAAAATTCAAAGTCACAGCTAATAGCTGAGACATAGTAAATTAAGAGTTTACAATTGATGTTAATAGAACCAGTAATAAAATGCAGTATACAATTAGAATTCCAATGATGAAACTGTTTCTGACCAGTATAACATCATGTAGATAACTTTTGCTTATTAAGAAGAGAGAATCGGAGAGATAGAAAAGAGAGAGAAAAAAATTAAAATAAGAGAAAGAGAGAGAAAGACAGACAGACAGAGAGAAGGGGATACCTATAGAAAGAAGAAAAGAGATCATGATTAAAACTGAGTCAGGGACAAAGAAGAGGAAAACTGGGAGAAATGATCAGGCATGAGAGAGATCATATCACAGGGTACCACTTCTTGAAAGATATAGGTGAAGAGGTGACCTTTGTGGTTATCAAAGTCAATATGAACCTTGAAAAAATAGGCAGTGTTAAGTACATCTAGAGTTCATTGCTGTAAAAGTACTTTTTCAAAAGTGAGGGCATTTCATGAAACAATTAGTCGGTGGTTTTCACAGACTAATATCATATTCACCGACAATTCTATTGTCACCGACTATTTTCCAGGCCTCTGATTGGTCAAATTTAGTCTGTGCTGACTAAGTTGTCGGTGAAAATGATATTAGTCGGTGAAAACCTCTGACTAATTGTTTCATGATATGTACAGTATAAGATACAGAATTATGAAGCATACACAGTAAAACTACACACTAACTCATGTAATTTTGTAGCAGCATTTTAGAAGCCGTCTCCTGTTCGACTAGGCCATGTACATGTAGGCAAGGAGAAATATTGCCCACGATAGGAAGGCAAGGATCAAATACAAGCTATTGAGCCCACATCAAAATGAGCAATCGTACAAGGGATAAGAAACCCTATATAAGAAACATCGTGATGATATGATTTCAAGAGGTTTGAAGGTTGACAAATTCACAAGTTAGATGCAAATGTAAATCACTTTGTTTACCTAAATACATTTCACTTTCTAAAATCTATTCATACACAACGTAGGTCTACAACAAAGATTAACTCAGAGGAAATTTAAGACACCCTTTTCTCTCCCTAGACTGTCTTGTAATTTTTGAAAATCACTCTCATGTAACCTATAATTTTGAACTCATAGTTAAAATATATTAAAAAGCAAAGGTCAATCATTCTACTGTGAACCTTGAGCTTCATTAATCATATTGATGAGGTAATAGAACTCAATATAAGGACTTTTATAAATGGGCCATACAGTACTTCTTCATCTCAAAAAATTGTAATTTCACACAAAAACCAATTTAGCTCAAGGAGCGTAGCACAATCAATACTTGGGTTGAGTGGCATACTATGAAAATGTCACTTATGGACATGTAAATGCAGAGTTTACTTCGCATGTAATGGAGACGCAATGGCTCAGTGGTAGAGGAGTGGTCTCGTAATTGAGAGGTCTCAGGCACGAACCAAGCAGATGCGCTAGTGTCCTTCATTACCAAGTCCCTCAGAGAGGACTTAAAGCTGTCAGTCCCCTGGTCACTTACTTTAAAGGCATCGTTTAACAATGTTAAATCTGAGAGGCACGGCCATACGTGTTATCAGTGTCTGTGATATGGTGTTATATTAAAGCCCTAAAAAAATTGCGCTTCAAAATGATCTACTCATTTTCCCCAATAGACTGTAGTGTTATGTAAACAATTTGGCAAACGCAAAATTTGATTTTCGATTTTCAATCATAAATATCTTGATAATCAGACAGGCGATCGGCTTGTAAAAGTCATGGGGTTCCTGATTAACCTAAAGGTTCATAATTATCATTGCAGAATGAGCTAAATCAAGGATTTTTTTAAAGGATCTAAGACAAAGTTACCGGATCCCTTTAATACATGTACATGTAGTAGGACTATATTTCTCATACATGGTCACTTGAATTAATATCTTGGAAATGAGATGCTGAAATTGGGTAAGATAAAGATCTAATGTGAACCAAGATATTGACATTTGAGACTAGATGGGATAGCATGTCACCAAGAATCAGGACGTTTAGTTGTTAACTGCTTGTTGACTTTTAGGTGCTCTGGGTCTAATCAAGTTGCCGAGTAAGCGATATGCTCATCCTCCCGATTGCCTGTCACTGAGAGGATGATTCTGTTGACACTCCTTGGAATGACGAAGGAAAGAAATCACCGCAGGACTTCTTCAAGTTACATGGCACGTGGGTTGGGTTGCAGATGTTGCTCCGGAGTGAGTCTGCATGCCAAACACAGAATCATGCAAATTAGAATGAAAGCTACTAGACAAACATATTACGCAAACTGGAGACGCAGAATTACGTGCCTAAGTTAGGTAATGAATTCTACCATGTTTATGTATCATCGACTCTATGCTTTGATGTAGGAGAGAGCTTCTTCTTCTAGATATGTGCAAAAGCCTTTCCCAATGGCTGCCACAGACTCTCAACAAACTCTAAACAAACTGAACACACAACTATAAACTTAAAACACACTACCTATGTGCATGAATGATACAAATTTCAATTTTTCTCTGATTTGTTTTCTTCCCCCCCCCCCCCCCCCCACCCTGTGCCCATGCACATGTTTTTACACATCCCCTCTATCTACCACCACAGAAGAGTGATATTTTTATACATGTATAAAAGTTGCTACTTGCAGGGTTGCTAATTGATTACTCTTACACATAAATTTAACTTGGTCCATCAATGATTTTTCATAAAACATGAAATTTGTTGTTGTTTTCCTGCTTTATTTAACTTCGCCTTGATATTAGAACAATATTTACAATGTTTTCTTTTTTTTAAGTCGACCCTGATAAATATCTGGTTTTAGTCAAAGCAGAAAAGCAAGAGAAACAATCTAGTGAAGTTTGACCAATAACCAACTAAAAATTGGAAAGTTTGAAGGTGTCATCAGTAAAACACAAACTGGCAACATTGTCTCATATATTTTATCTTGCTAAATCCTCTCCAATTTGCTATGTAGAGAAAATTTCACAAGCTTTCATTTTTGTAGTTATTGATGACGAAATAGATTTGTTTCAAACAAGTGTATGTAAACATATATTTGCAATAATTATATTTTGGGGGTACATGTATGTTTGATTGAACATTTTCTGTAGGGAAAATATAAATATCTGAATTTTGATAGGACAGAGCAAATGGGAGGGGATCTTGCAAGATACAATACAGAGTTGCCAATTTTTAATTGATTGATCACACCATTAAAATTTCATAACTTTATTATTTTCTAATCAAATTTTACTCAAATTTTCACCTGTTCCTCTCTCATTTTTCTGTTTCTATTAAAACCAACTTAATATCAGGATAAACTTTCCATCAAGAAATAATAACCATTTTGAATAGGCTGTGAATTCCTGGTTTATTTTCCAACAAGTGCAAGCAAAGTGGCCAACTGTCGCTTGAGCACATACTAATGTACATTACTACGATCAAGGAGCAAGCGTTGCTATCAAGGTTGTAGAATGTGTAACATTATCTCGTAGAAGGATCAGGAACTTTGAATCATTTACCTCTCCCGAAGGTGTGGAGATGTCTGACTGCATTTGCAAAAATTGAAGCCGAATGATTTTCTTCTCTACCACAGTAAACTTATCCTACCATATATGTCAAGGCCCCGGAAATGCATTCATACTGCTACAGATCCCAACGGAGTACGATATTCAACCTGAGTCACAAGAATGAAGTCTACATTATTTACGTTTGTCTGATTGAGTATGGAGTAAAATTGCACATGAAATGAAACCAAAGTCCTCCTTTCTTCCCGACTTCCCAGAAAACATTAAGAGGTTAATTATAATGTATGTGAGGCCAGGGCAATAATAACTTTGTTGGTGGCCAACTTCGAGATGTTCTCAAGGATCATAAAACAAAATAAATAAGGATTATTTCATATTTACAAAAGAAGTTGTTACAATAATCTAAATAAAAGTTCAGTTGTTTTATAGTTCTCTCTTGCAAGGATTCACTACAAATGACGGATGTATATAAACTTTACACAAGGTCACATATATCAAAGATTTTCCATGATTATGAATGGTAAAAATGATTCATACATTTTAAGTCGTATTCAGTAACATTCATTGACACAGCTACATGTAGGCATCTTCCTTGCCTTTGGCTGAACTCTTGAATGTGTTGTTGCTTCACCTTGATATCATTAATGCTCCATTTCTCATTTCCTACAAGTCGCTTTGAGTTGTTAGTAACACTAGCCTTCACCTGCAGATTCTCCCTTGTACCTCTTCATCCAAAAACAGGAAGCCAATTATATGCCGCTCTCGCATCTAAACGAGCCATCCGCATCATCAACCAAGTAAACAATAAAACTTGTTCAACTCCATTTCTCCTTGATGCTCCCCGCATCTCCCGCCTCTTCCTGATGGATGACTCTCCCGCGTTGCTAGGCAACAGCTAAACACACTAAATTGGGACTATACAATGCGCCAGCGAGGAGGTTGGATTGAATGGATGAAAGGTGGACTACTTAGCTGCTCTTAGGACTAATGG